GCAGTAAGATTAGGGGAAGATTGTTAGCTAATCTAATGCCACCTTGTGTGAAACACAGCAGAGGAAGGCGGCACCGACTTTGCCCCCTGTTGTAATACAGTAGCCGCTGTAGGTGCAGGCGCCGCATGGCTCACCTGCAGCACTGTAGGCACATGCAGTGGCCGGCGCAGAGTCAGCCCTGTATACTTATCTAGTTACTGTTACAGCATGTGCGCTGTACTTTAGTTAGATAGATAGAGTTGTATAAATAGGGCACCAAGGCAACTCAGTAAAGAGAGCTCAGATTTGCCATCACACAGACAGGGCCTCGGCCAACGTTGTTGTCTTGTATTGTGCGTGCTTGCTCTGTTCTCTCTTCTTCTTCCAGCTCGATCCGTAGTGTGTGGGTACGGACACAACCGGTATAGTGGTCTGGGAGACTAGTGGTCTGGGAAGACTAGTGGTCTGGTCTGGGAGGCTAGTGGTCTGGGAGACTAGTGGTCTGGGAAGACTAATGGTCTGGTTTGGAAGACTAGTGGTCTGGGAGACTAGTGATCTGGTCTGGGAGACTAGTGGTCTGGGAGACTAGTGGTCTGAGACTTGTGGTCTGGAGACTAGTTCACTATCGTCAGACGATGATCCCGTGGGCCAACAAAATCTCCATAAATTCGTCGATGGTTTGGACATTCCATGGGTTAACTTAATCTAGGAGGGCGAACTTGAAGATCTTAAGTAAGACAATACAAAAACATGATAGTTGTGCAAGTCAACAATGGGCACACCTGTGTGCTCTGGGATGACAGGTGGTTAGACGAAGAAGCCAAACTAAAATTCCCTGAGTTGTTCTCCTTTGCATAAAACAGACTGATTTCAATTAGCAAAGCAGTGTCACAAAAGTCACCCAGCTCAACTCGTTCACTTGCCTCTTTCAGCTCTGGCTTATACTCAATTAATTACAGAATCTGAACAATGCCATGCAGAATCTGAGCCTCACAGCTAACAAGGACATTTGGGGGTACAACTGGGGATCAAACACCTTTGCACCAACTAAACCTTACAATAAACTGATACGACACCATCAAGTTCACATTGCTTTCAGATGGCACAAGAGCAATTCTGAATGGCCAGAAACTCAACCTGACATATCCACTAGCAACTCCTGGTTTATAAAAATCTTGATTTAAAAATATCAAATTTGATACTATTTCTTTCGAGACTATGAGAGTGATTCATGCTCTTTCAAGAAAATGTGATGCCCGCAGCCTGCTTCATGTTTTGTTTTGTTGCAGGTGCTTTCCTGATGGTGACCAAGCTCTGGGCTGATCATACCTTGACCCTCCAATTCCTCGTTACTTTTAGAACTGAGTGAGGCAATCAAAGGTATGAAATCTCAGACAAATACCGGCATTGATTGTATTCGGCTCGATAGAAATCCAAGAGAGTTTTCTCTGTTTTGCTGAACAAAAACAAACTTATGTTTCTGAACTCTGAACTAGAGGCTGAAATGGAGCTTTCATTTCAGATGACCGGCCCGAGTAGGCTCATTTCAGATGACCGGCCGGAGTACGCGTCTATTCATTTCAGATGACCGACCTGACGCACGGCAAGCTGCGAGTGACAGACAACAACCACTCGAACGACGACCTGACCCTGACCCCGAGCATCTGGGAAGTGAATGGCACGCCACAACCGCTGCCGCAGAGTCCTTCTGTCGGTGTCGATCGTTGACCAAGCTGGAGATGCAGGAGCAGCCCGTCCCTGAGGGTGACGGGCTTCGTGCGGACCGTGGCGCCGGGGCGGTGCTGGAGCTTGTAAAATTAAAGGGCCGCCGCGGCGTGCCTGCGTCCACGTGGCAGTGCGCTTGGTGGGGAAGCTGTTGGTAGCGGCGACAAACTCCAGGAACATGGTCAGGTGGGTCCGGGAGCGAGCCGCACGGCACGGTTGGAGGAGGTGGACGACTACGAGGTGGCGCCGTGGTGCTGCGCGCTGGTCGTGCCCGTGCCAGCGCCGGCGCCGACGCCGGATGGCCCTGCCCTCGAGTACGACGTGGAGGGGGATGTAACTGGACTACGATACATTGACTGTAATATGATAGGGTACGTGGCTAAATACGGTCGCCGCCGGCCAATCAACAAGATCGCCGCACGCCGTTGCCGCCGTCGCCCTCAAGCATGGTCAGTTCCTAGTCCTTGTTCAGTTCTTTCTTCCCTACTCCTCTGTTATTTACAAAGGGGCCACGATGGGCTGCCCTCGCGTCTGGGCCATGCAGGGTCCGCTTTAGATGGTCCAGTCCGGCCCAATGACTCTTTTACTGGGCTTCTTCACACGTTTGACTTCTATGTTGCTTCCCGCCGGCTCTTCAGGACTTGCATCTCTTGTCTTGCCATCATCAGGTTCAGAGATATCAGTAGTTGTCGTCACTGTGCCGCCGGTGACATCCCTTCCTCCTTTAGAACCAGCTTGACCCCAAGCTGGTGCACGGGGAAATTGTTGCTGTAGAGATTCTTCATCTTCCTAGGTGGAGAGAGTATCAGGGAGGTAAGACCAGCGCACCAGCACTTGAGGGATCATACGATCATTATGCTGACGAAGCCGATGGTCTAAGATTTCTTGAGGCACCTGCAACTGATTAGAAATGTCAGGTAGCTCTGGACTTACCATGGCAACGGATGGAATGGCTTTCTTGAGTTGTGAAACATGGAACACCGGATGTATAAGACAATCTGGAGGTAGCTGCAGATGATAACCTGATGGGCGCCAATGAAGTCTGCACATATGGTTGGGCTTTGAGATAGACAGAGTCACCTGGTTGAAATAATCTAGGTGTGCGATGTCTGTCAGCCTGATTTTTCATTTTGTGCTGGGCTCTGATAAGATGCTGACGGACCAGTGATTGCATTAGAGATCTTTCTTCCAACCATCCTTGAAGGTCACTGGATTTACAGGCTTGAGATATATCAATACCAAAATGCCGTGGTTCATGACCATAGAGTACCAGGAATGGACTTTGACCAAGAGAAGAATGGAATGAGGTGTTATACCAGTATTCTGCCAATGCAAGCCATTGAGACCATTTTGCAGGACAAGCATGCAGGAAACACCTTAAGTAAGTTTCAAGACATTGGCTAACACGCTCGGTCTGGCCATCCGTTTGTGGGTGATAGGCACTACTCATTCTCAAGTCTATGCCCAATAGTTTAAACAACTCTTGCCAAATGTTGCTAGTAAAAATTTTATCCGTATCTGAAACCATAACTGTAGGGAGGCCATGGAGTTTGAAAATGTTGTTCAGATAGGCTACAGCTACTTGAAGAGCAGTGAAAGGGTGGGAAAGAGGAACAAAATGAGCATATTTTGAAAATTTATCTACCACCACTAATATGCAGTTGTAGCTAGCAGATTTTGGAAGACCCTATATGAAATCAAGAGTTACAGTGTGCCAAGCATGGTTAGGAATGGGTAAAGGTGCCAACAGACCTGGATAAGCCACTCTCTCGGCCTTAGCTTGTTGATAGATAGTGCACTGGGCAACAAAGTCTTGGACAGCTTGTTTAAGCTTGAACCATGCAAATAGATGTTTGACTCTCTTATAAGTGACCTCATAACCAGAGTGGCCACCAATAGCGCTGGCATGGAGAGAGGATAGGATCTTAGACTGCAAAACAGGTTGATGACCCACCCAAATTCTTTCCTTGTAGCGAATGATGCCATCCTTCAGTGAATACAAACCACTTGCAGAGGAAATAGAGAGTTCAGATAATAGCTTAATAGCTTGAGAATCTGCTGAATATGAATGTTGAATCTCTTGAAGCCAAAGTGGGTGCACAGTGGAGATAGCAGAGATATCATAATATGGAGCCTGAGATACTCGTGAGAGAGCATCCGCTACTTTGTTATCCATGCCCTTTTTTGTAGACAATTTGATATGAGAGACCCATTAATTTGGTTAATGCCTTGTGCTGGATAGGAGTGGATAGTCTCTGATCATCTAAGTGAATCAGACTTTTCTGATCAGTGAGTATGGTGAAAGAGGAAGACTGCAAATAATGACGCCAATGATCCACCGCCATTAAGATGGCCAAACACTCCTTCTCATATGTTGAAAATCCTTGAGCCTTAACTCCCAGTGCTTTACTCACATATGCAATTGGGTGACCTTGCTGTTGTAGACAGCACCAATGCCTTTGGCCGAGGCATCTGTTTCAATAATGAAAGGCAAGTTGAAATCTGGTAATGCCAGAACCGGTGCTGAAATCAATGCCTTCTTGAGCGCCTGAAAAGCAGCTTCAGTTTCTGAGGTCCACACAAATAGAGTTCCCTTTTTTAACAAGTTAGTAAGAGGTTTGCATAGAAGTCCAAACTGTGAAACAAATCTTCTGTAATATCCCACCATGCCTAAAAAACTACGTAACTCCTTTATGTTCTGTGGTTGTGGCCAATCTTTGATAGAGGCTATCTTGGAAGGATATATGGCGACACCTTGCTCGCTGACAATGTGGCCCAGATAATATAACTGTTGTTTTGCAAATAAGCACTTGGTCATCTTGACATGGAAATTGTTTTGTTGCAGTATACTGAGAACTTCTTGTATATGCAAAAGATGATCTTCCCAGGATTTACTATAAATGAGAATGTCGTCTATAAAGACAACCACACATTTCCTGAGTAAGGGAGCCAGAATCAGATTCATAACTATTTGAAATGCTGCTGGACCTCCTGTGACTCCATACGGCATGACCCTGTACTCAGTGTCCATTATGAGTCTGGAATACTGTTTTGAACTCTTCCCCGAGGGCCATGCGTATTTGATGAAACCCAGAGCAAAGACCAAGAGATGTGAACCAAGAAGAACCATGTAATTCCTCTAGAAGTTCTTCAATGATAGGCAGGGAGTACTTGTTCTTCTTAGTCAGTGCATTCAGTCTGCAAAAATCAACGCATAAACGCTAATCGCCAGTTTTCTTGCATACCAGAAATACAGGAGATGAATAAGGGCTTGTACTAGCTTGAATCCATCCCTTCTAGAGCATGTCAGCTATCTGATTCTCTATCTCTGTCTTCTGGGCGGGGTTGTAGCGATAAGGTCTGAGGCAAAATGGTTGAGCGCCATCTAATAATGGAATGGAGTGGTCGCCCAACCGGGAAGGTGGAAGTGTGGTTGGAGGCTCGAAGACTGATTTGAATTGTTCCAACAAGTGTTGAAGATCTAGAGGTAATGATGGTTCTTGAGGTGCAGCAGGTTCCAGTGCTTGAATTTGTACCAAATATAATATGGAGTCTGTCTTGTCAAAGGCGAGCAACTGATTGTGAGTAACTGGAGGCCCTAATTGAACAGCAGTAGGAATGCCTTGAAGAGTTATGAGCTTGTCTTGATAGGAGAATTGTAACCATCTATCCACCCAATGAATTTTCATAGGGCTGTGGGTTTCCAACCAGTCCATGCCTAATATGATATCATAGCCTCTGATTGGAATGTTTTTCAGTGTTGTACTGAAAGAATGCCCTTGTGTGCCCCAGACTTGATCACGTAGCTCATGAGTACAAGACAGAACCTCTCCATTAGCTACTCTTACAGTTACTAACTGAGATAGTGGCTGCCATGGAGACACATTAGCTGCAACCAGATCACTGACAAAGCTATTGGAGCTTCCAGAATCAATCAACATAAATACTTCTTTTCCTTAAAGGTAACCTCTCAGTCTGATTGTTCTAGAGCCTTCAATGCCATTCAGAGCTTGTAGAGATATAGCCATCAGATGATCTCCTGAGTCAGACTCTACAGCTTCTATTGTTGGTACTAGATCTTCATGATCAGCAATACATTTCCAGATATCTTCTATAGCATTGAGAGAGATAGAAGGAGGACACTTATGGTTGGGTCCCCATTTTTCTCCACATTTGAAACACAAGCCCTCGGATCTTCTATAATTCTTCAAAGCAGTCAATTTATCCTCCCCTGTATGCCTGGTCTTGCCAAGATCAGGTGGCTTCTTCTCTTCGACAACTCTTGCAAAATTAGGAGGGGCTGCAAAAGGTGCTTTGACAGAGTCTTGATTGGTTCCCTTTGAGTAAGAGCCCAAATCAGATCTCCTGATAGGTTGGTCTTGGGAAGCTTCTTCCTACAAAAAGGCCAAAGAGCTAGCAGTATCCAAATCTTGAGGTCTGTGCTTCATAACCACTGCACGTACATCTTTTTTAAGGCCATCAAGAAAGTGGTTTGTGATAATGGTAGCAGGAAAAGATGGATCATGGGCTAATAATTGATGGACAATGTCACTGAATTGTTCGACATGTTCAGAGACTATGGTGGTTTGCTTAATATGAAAGAAATGGCGCAACAGATGATTGTGTTCATCTTTGTCAAACCTATTGCAGAGAGCTACAACAAAGGATTCCCATGACATTTTACTAATGGCAGTTGGCATAGTCTAAAACCAAAGTGTTGTAGAACCCACAAGACGCATAGTAGCTAAGCGAACCCAAAGACTTGGATCAGTTTGATAGACATCAAAGTATGTTTCACAGCGTTTAATCCACAAACGTGGGTTAGAGCCATCAAACTTATGAAATTCAACTTCAGGAAAGGGTGTGAGGGGTGGGTAGTGTGAGTAGTGTAGCCGATCACAGTGCCCAAAGTCATAAGTATGAAGTAGAACAGGGGTGGATTTGGGGAGAGTTGGTGTCGCACCTGTGACCGGGGCTGGTTCCGGGGCAATGGTGTACACTGCCCCGAAATCAGCACCCCGGTGAGAAGTTTGCTTGCCGGGGTCTAACGACCCAGGTGCCGCCCTTGACGGGTGAAACTCTAGATGAGCGGAGCTCGGCGCCTTGACGCTCGAAGAGGCGAAGTGGTCCTCCCAAATTGCCGTGGTGAGCGAGGGTTGAGCGATGGTGACTTCCCCAGATTGCTCCCCATGGGTTGGTTCTAGAGGTTGGGCCAGCGAAATCTGAGATCCCAGAACTTGCTCGCTGTGTTCCCCTAGATTCAGCATAGCGTGCACGAGCTCATGAACTCTGTTGTCGACTTTGGGCTTCCACAGCAACAAATATGTCTTCATCGCAGTCATCTCCATCATCGAACTCTTGAGCTCGTTGATTCCCATGGAGTTTTCTCCTAGCAACGCCAGGATTTGCCCCAACTACTCTTCCTTAGAGATGGAGGCCATCTGTCTTCGGGTGAGGTACTGATGCGATGCTAGAGTCACGAATTTCCCCACAAATCAATTCGTGTGCTTGGGAATTACCGAGAAATCACTGGCGGCAGCAGCTCACTGCCTACAAGGATCTCAATCGAACCCGAAGCGTTTGCAATTTTGATCGATGGGATGCGGAAATTCGAAGAACCAAGGATCGAGAGGCAATTTGATACCAGATGTAACCAAACTATGATATATTGACTGTAATATGATAGGGTATGTGGGTAAATACGGTTGCTGTCGGCCGATCAACAAGATCGCCGCACGCCGCCGCTGCCGTCGCCCTCGTGCATGGTCGGTTCCTAGTCCTTGTTCAGTTCTTTCTTCCCTACTCCTCTCATTATTTACAAAGGGGCCACGATGGGCTACCCTCGTGTCTGGGCCACGTAGGGTCCGCTTTAGATGGTCCAATTCGCCCAAAGACACTTTTACTGGGCTTCTTCACACGTTTGACTTCTATGTTGCTTCTAGCCGGCTCTTCAGGACTTGCATCTCTTGTCTTGCCGTCATCAGGTTAAGAGATATCGATGAGTTGTAAATCCTTGCGCCGCCGTGACAGGTAGGAAGAGGCGACCCCCCTCAGTCGTGGTGAGGCACCGGGGGCGGACTAGGAAGAACTACGGTGCAGGCACCAGCTGCATCGAGGTGGCCTCCGTGTCGTGGCGACGCAACCGAGGGATGAAGATGCAGGCAAGACAAAGACCTTGGTGGTGGTGGTGCGGAACGACGCAGCTGGGTGCCAACGCCTATCAGCCGGTGTCGCCGGGAGGAGGCAGCGGCGCGCGGTTCGCTCCCTAGCGAAGCTGCTGGCGCGCCACGGTTCATGCGGCCAACCTTCGGCCTCCACCACGCATCCTCGCGCCCGCCTCCCACCGCTTGAGTGTCTTTGACGAACACACGCCGCATGGGCGTCCCGCTTCTTCGCGGACTCGCTTGCTTCATCATCCCTGGAAGACTCTTTGCACCATGGTCATGCACGAGGGTGCCGGTAGTCCGATGCAGTGAAATGAAATGCATGCTTTCCTTCCTTCTTCCCGGCCCCCGAACACTCGGTGCATCCATCCAATCCAAGTGTGTGTTTTATTAAAAGGAAGTGCCAAAGAGAGGAACAGAAAAAATAGCGTGCGCGGACTGCGAAAATCCTAAAATGCCTACACTGCTGGCAGGATGCTAAAGATGTGGCTGGCCAAAAAAATGCGACACGCAGAGGCGCTCCACTTCCTGCCTCTGCCTAGCCACGCGATGCACGCACTCGGCTCGGCTGCTCCCTAACACAGCGTCACTGGCGCCGACGCTAACGAGGGCTGCTCATGCTCGGCGCCATGGCAGCCGCCAGGCGCTGCATCTTGCGTGCCTTCTGGTCCATCTTCTTGGGTGGCTTAGCGTAGCCCGTGCGGGTTGCCAGCACCAGAGAAGGAGCCTTGCTTGATGAGCATGACGAAGAGGGCGTCGAAGCGGCGGAGCAATGGGTCGGCGCATTGGGCGGACAGGCGGGCGACGGGGCGGGAGCAGGTGGAGCACAACAAAATCAACTCGCAGCTCTGCGCACCGGCCGGGAAAGACTCAGTCGAGGCCATGCCCCATCCCCTACCGCAGTTCCCCACCAGGTAGTAGGCCATAGCCGCCAGCGACATTGTGTTTCAAGTGTTTCAGGCGTTTCAGACTTATGTTTCAAGTGTTTCATCTGAATGTTGCAAAAGTCATCCTGAGATGTTGCATATGTTGCAATGACAATATACGCATGTTGCAAGCATACGTTTTCAAGTGTATCAGTTGTTTCAAAAGTATGTTTCAAGTATTTCATTTATCTTGATGTTGCAGAAGTATATATGGATGTTGCATACCATGCATGTTTTCAAGTGTTTTAGGTGTAGATTGGAGTGTTTTATCTGGATGTTGCATATGTTGCTATGGCTATACACGCATGTTTCAAGCATATGTTTCAAGTGTTTCATATGTTTTTAGTCGCATGTTGCAAGTGTTTCAATTGGATGTTTCCAAATTAGATCAGGGGGGCATGTGTAGCAATGGCCATGGCGTCTGACGGATAGTGGCTCGCCAGAGCCGTCTTGCCATCATTGCTAGGCGCGCGTCGTGGGTCACCATGCGGGCGCTTGAAGCTGGCAGACACCTCCTGGCGTGCATCCACAGGTGGGGTGAGGCAGGCACAAGGGGCACACTCCTGTCTGTTATGGTTCGGCGGGGTAAAGGTCCTCCTGTGTTATGCAGGCACTGTAGGCACATGCGTTCGAACCCGATCCATTTTGGCCACTGGCAGGCCCAACTGACAGCCAAGGGAGGTGCGCTCGGCTGGCTGTTCGGCCACATGTTCGTGAGTGTGCAGGGGGCAAGTGCGCCATGTGGGCCGCACGGGCGAGCATGCGCTGGGCAACGATAATATGGCATGGCTTAAGCATCGGGACGCGTGCTTCTATCCAGACGTCTGGGCGTGAGACCCTCCTTATATTTATTTTGATTCATGTAAATATAAAGCAAAATGATTATTAGTTCAAGTTACTGAGCAACTGATCGGAGCGTCTGGTCGCTATAAGGACAGCGTTCGGTGCTATATCCGATCACCTCTGTGAGCTCGTTTCTTCGCGATCTTACGTCTGGCTTGGTTTCTATCTTCATGCTTGGACTTTGCTTGATATCTTGGGTCTTCTCTTGTGCTCCTAGAGTCTTGCTTATGGTGTTGATCATCACGTCGCCTTCGTCCAAGTCACGTCTTGCACCCTATTGAACTACAAAACAATCACTTGCAAAATCATTAGTCCATTTTGGTTGTGTTCGTCATCAAACACCAAAATCCAAAGTAAATGGGCCTAGGGTCCATTTTCCTTACAATCTCCCCCTTTTTGGTGATTGATGACAACACGACCAAAGCAAGCAAATAATAAAATTTTTGGAATTTAAAAACTATTTACTTGCTAGGATGCAATGCAAAGGGCATGGTTATATGATGCTAAAAGATACCAATTGAAGATACCACTTGTATACCAATTGAAGATACCACTTGTAAAGCTAAACTTATCTTGCCCTTGCCAATGTATCCATGTGGCATTATGGATTTAAGCCTTGCTTTTTGGTCCTACAAATTCTCTCCATTTCATAGATTAATCCATAATCCACTATCCTCCCTTTCTCGGACCATTACTACTTGCAAATTATTATGATCGGACTTGCTTTTGGTCCTACAAATTTTTCCCCTTTGGAATCAAACACCGAAAAGAAAGACATTAGTAGCACAAGGGAGGTCAAACTTTGTGATCCTTTGTATGTGGAGTGGAATAGATCACAAACTTTGACTCTCATATTACATAGACTAAGCTCCCCGTAAATATATGCATACATATGATGAAGAATGTAGTTAATGCATAATTGGCAAATTAATACTCAAGGGAGTTTAATCTATATAATGCATGGAGAAAGTATATAAATACCAAAGTGAAATCAACGTGATGATATCGGTTTAGAAATACCACATGTGGAAATCAATTTGATTTATACCACTTGCAATAGGTGGTGGATATTTGAAATATGATGCTTAACTCCGAGGACTCCATTTTCCTTGCAATGAGACTACTACACATATGATAAGCTTGAAAAAGTGTTAGTCTCAAAGCATCTAATTTATAGAGTAACCTCCCCCTAAATTTGTGCACACAAGTATGGAATACTTGTAAGAGATATGCACATTGATTTTAGAATATAAAATACCACTTGAAAGGATGACATCATATGAATATGAGAATCATTTTTGAAAATGATATTCGGGAGAAATTATCTACAATTTGGACTTTGGCACATATTAGATGAACAATAGAAAGAGAAGCTATGTGTCGTGCTTCTAAACAATTTAAACCATGTAGGTTTGCTCCAAGGGTTATGAATAAAACCGAGCAATCCTACATTCGGTCTCTACATTACGTAAACAGCTGAGAAATGCCATCGTTATCCTCGGTGTCGTCAGGTAGCGTGCCCCTAAACACATCATTAACTGTGGCCATAGGTTCCGTGTTGATACCGGGTTCCTCGTCAGCATCGTGGATGGCTACGTCAGACATGGCCACATCAGGCATGGCCACATCATCATCGTTTTCCTGTAGAACATTCACATCAACCTCGCCATGCATAGTCCATATCATATAGTTTGGCATGAACCCCTGGTAATCAAGTGCATTCGTACAGACTCAATTTGAGCCCATTTCCTTTGATTCATGCAATCTTTATATGGGCAGAAGATAGGGTTCCGATTCTTAGCATGGGATGGCAACTTATCAACCCACGTACAGTAGGGATGGCATTATATTACATAATAATTTTGTGTGTTGATGAAGGAGCAATCCGCGGAGCTCCGACCCGAAACCACGTACACAATTTCATGAAACACGCAATTTTTATATCACACAGTATATTACATAATAAATTTGTTCTAAGTTGCGTCATGAAATTGTGTACGTGGGGGTTGCAACACACATTTTTTATATCACACAATATATTACATAATAAATTTGTTCTAAGTTGCGTCGTGCAATTGTGTGTTGTTTATTGCCTCTTGTCTATACAAGTGAATATGTAATATATATCATGCATATGTTGCTAAAAATTCCTTATTATTTTTTTTGTATTGCCGGTGGATTTCAGGTTTCAGGTAACCAATCGGGTTTCGGGGATCCACCGGGTTTCATATCGGGTTTGGATTATCACCCAAACCGGTGTTCGGGGCGGTTTCGGGTTTCAAGTTTGGGTTTTGGGTTTGGATCCGCGAAGGCTCCACCCGATCCGAATCCGCGTTGTTGCCATCCCTAATGTACACTCTACCATATCCTCATGAGTACCTCCAAAAAACTAAGCTGACAAATCATAAGATTAACTAAGTCAGCATAGGTGCCTCGATGTCAACG